TTTTCAATTAAGCCGTATATATAGGGAAATATCTAAATAATTAATGGACTTTTAAAAACTTTTAATCCATATATTATTACTTCAAACATATTAACTATTCAGTAAAAATAACGTTTATATATATATATATATATATATATATATATATATATATATATATATATATATATATGCATCAATTTTTCATTAATGAATGTTTCATTATATTATAGTTTTGTCTATTTATTTTAAGGAAGTTCCTTTCATACTGTTTTGATAAAGCTTAATCACATTATCGTTGAAACTTGTCTATATTATTTAATGAATCATGCATTAATATATATATATATATATATATATATATATATATATATATTATATATATATATATTATTATTATTATTATTATTATTATTATTAGACGCAATCATCAGGTCTGACGATTTACATACGTTCTATCTTTGATATTGAGCACTTTATCCCATAAATATAACACACCTATAAAATATATATTTATATATATATATATATATATATATATATATATATATATGGGAAGAGCCTGTATTTACATCAACTTGACAATCCCAGAGGAAGGCAGAAATACCACGAATACTGGTGTTTACTTCAACTAGTACTAAGTTGGTTACTTTAATGTTAGTAATGTTTCAGCACCTAAACCATGTTAAACTTCTGGTGCATCGTCTTATAAAGGTGATGTTGCGATATCTATTAATAAGAATAGAAGCAGGTGGGAATATAGTATATTTGTGGACAAATCTTTCTCGTATACATGTTTTGTTGGGTGTGATAGACAAGGAATATTTTACAAGTATTTGGTATGCACCCCAATATGGAATTAATTCTACTTCTATACAGCACAACGTAGAAGTCTCACCATTTCGATGCAACATAGTTTAGAATATAAACACAGAAAATATACTAACAACGGACTCCTAGAAAATAGCAAAAGAATTGGCTGAAAGGGTTAGGACAATAATCACTAAGGACAGTTACTACACTCTGTGCATCCTCATAAAAGATAAATTGTGAGACCGTCAGAAAAGCTGAATAAAAACTTACAAAAACTTTTCTTTTCCCCGTCACATTCAATGAAGCAGGGGTGAACATACACATACATACACACATATACACGCTAACACACACACACATATACACTCATACACACACAAACACACACATACACACATATATCTATATCTGTATATATATATATATATATATATATATATATATATATATATATATATATATGTGTGTGTGTGTGTGTGTCTGTGTTTGTGTGTGTGTTGTAGCATAACTGTGGGCGATAATGCATATGATAATAGTCCCCATTCGCATAAATACAGTAGTAAATACTGTATGTTGGTCTGCAGTTGGAGATTCGTCTCTAGATGAGCTCGTCAAACTCTCTGCCTCCGGGAAGAGAGGATCCCCAGACAAGTCTATGTCGAAGTGCAGAGTCTCGTCTGGGGAAACACCTACCCGACCCTGTTTTATACGTGGTCTACGGGGAATTTGGGGCCGGGCCTACGGGTTCGGATACCCAACATTAAATTCGGCCTTGTGCCACATATGAAAGCGTGGGGTGGTTCGGAGATATCTTGCAGTTGGAGATTTATTGTGGAATTCACTTGACTCACTTCTAGCAGTTGACTACTATTTCTATGCGCCGCTGGCGAATCTTATAGGTGTTGTTCTTGTCCAAAGTATTATCGTTCATTACCAACCTTTGTGTGATTATTCTATTCAGTAAGCTTCGCTAGGTTTACAACAATATAAATATTACATAGAACAGAAATTCAAATTTCCCTCATTCGAATAGCTATTTGAACCGGCAAGAAGACCTATATTGGCATATCTATCTATATCTCTGAGATGAGGTGTTATGGTTACTTAAAAGTTTTCTTTATTCAGACTGTTATCCTCAACTTCATTGCCATATTCAAGTATAGATAAGAATACAATATGGGAACCACTAATAAGGAGTGCTAAAGAAAAACAGTGAATAACAACAAAAATTGCAATATAAGCTCCGGTAAAAAAAAAATGCAATAATGATAAAAGAAAATTGCAATATGAACACGTGTGAAAAATGGTTACTAAGACATTAGTTTTATAAGTCGAAAAAAATCATACACAGATGTCATCAAGGACACATGGCCAAGTGGATAAAGACGTTGGTTAGATCCAATTACTGGACAGAAAGAGTTGTGAGTTCAACGACAGGAGAGTTTAGTTAAAGGGAAATAACTGAAACATCTGGAAGAGGAATGGTATGTGGAATTAGAACAATCTGTCCCGGAGGACAAAATAAAGGGTTCGAATCGACATTCCAATCACTTGAAGGGGGCCGGAGAGTACAACGACCGAAACGTTGCGAATATGGCAATGGAGATGAGGATAACAGTCCGAATAATGTAAATAATTCAAGTAATCATAATACATCATCTCAGAGATATAGAGGCCGAAACGTAGTGAATATGGCAATGAAGATGAGGATAACAGTCCGAATAATGTAAATAATTCAAGTAATCATAATACATCATCTCAGAGATATAGAGGCCGAAACGTAGTGAATATGGCAATGAAGATGAGGATAACAGTCCGAATAATGTAAATAATGTAAGTAACTATATTGACATCGTCTGGTCAGAAGTGTGAAGAAATAAAATAGGAACTTAAAATTTAAACATTCAAAAATTAAAAAGAAAAAAGAAGAAGAAAATAAGAAAACGAAAAAGAGAAAAAGAATTAGAGAAATAAAACAAGAACGAAAGCGTGAGGCATTAAATTAAACCAACGCCCCGGGAGGGGAAGTGGAAGTGTATATATATATATTAATAATTTCACCCCATGCAAGGCAATAATGCCACTAAGGAGTTACTGAGTATGAATGAATATGATATATATATATATATATATATATATATATATATATATATATATATAATCTTTCTGGCTCACTTTAAAAAAATCTTTCATCGGCCCAAGAAAGATTTTAGTACAAAACTGCTATATTGCTCGAACCTTCAGGCCGGTAAATGTGCTTTATGTTGTTTAATTGAAAGACAGAGCATTTACTTACATAAATTGTATCTATTAAAAATAACTTATAGGCAGAAAATATATTAGATAATTGTCGGACATAATTCATTTCATAATATGTTGTCAATGTTTTCGTTAAGGTACGTTTCGTGAGCACATATGATCGTTCGGGAAAGATATATACAGTAATTTGGATGTTGCTAACTAGACGCTTCTTTGTGACCGAATGGTTAACAGCACATAAGATCAAATATTCTTACTTTTGGGGTTATATGTTCGATTCCTGTCCCGGAATCACATAATTTCTACGAAATTTCTCGAACATTCAGGTCGGAAATATAATTAACCCTGTCCACTAAAAAAAAAACGAGCACTTAAATAAATTCTATGTATTAAAAATAATATATATATATATATATATATATATATATATATATATATATATGAAGTCCTATAGGACAAAACGCGTTACACGAAAACTTTTCCACTTTGTTATGAATCTTTCCGCTATATAAAATTTTATATATTGTTATCCCATATACATATATATATATGTGTGTGTGTGTGTGTGTGTGTGTGTGTGTGTGCGTATGTGTGAACGTATGTGTGTGCCTTTACTGTTGTTCACTGAATACAATGCCCGAGAGGCGCTCCAGGTGGTGGGGATTACTTAATGAGGTTGGAGAAAGGTTACAAGAGGAAATGGTAACGATCATAGATTACGAAGCTATGTAGAATAGATAACGGTTAACCCCAGACTTCAAGTGATTAAAATTGTAATGATAATGGTGAGCATCCTCTCGGGAGTCCGTTCTTAGGAAGACGCCATCAGAATGTACCATAAATAGTACCGGTTCACACTCCTTCCTAGTCTTTTCCTAGTCTTTTTGTTATCTCCCCTAAACCTTGTCCCGCTACCCATTTATTGTAGCTCGCTGGGTAGGTTATGCGTTGTTTTCTTCTGTCCCTCTTGCCTTCAATCTGCCCTATGAGTATCAAATATTCCAAGCCCTCTGTGCCCTAGAAATTTCAACTGTCTCTTCAGTCAATTAGGTGACATACGTGATACACGCTTGGGTGATTATATTTCTATTGAGTTCTGACCAGACACAAGATTTTCCTGCAGTAGGTTGCCATTTCTTTCTGTGATAGAACAGTTGCCACCCAAGGCTCTATAACTCAGTCTCTCCTACTATTTACCGGTAGCTATGGCGGGTATGTGGGAGTTGGATTCATGCATTTTCCCAAGGTGGACGACCGAAAATGTTTTTCAATACATCGTATCTGATTTCTCAGTCCGAGCCGCCATAAATTACTCGACCTTGACTAATAACTGTCTCTTATGGATGTCAAGTGTCCTTTTTGTTTCCATTTCCTTTAAAACTTTGTCGTTGTTTACGTGTTCGATCTATGGTATTCTCAGCATCCTTCTGTAGAACCACATTTCTTTTCCTTTTCTTTTTTTCATTCATCGGGGAGGAGATTGTAGAACCTTCACTACCATATAGGAGAACTGATATTAATTTGCTGTCTATCATTAATGTAATATAGCGTCTTTCATTGTTATACCCAAGAACACATGAAGAAAAAATATGCTGCCTAAATAAACGTTATTAAATACATACATGCATACACACACGCATATATATATATATATATATATATATATATATATATATATATATATATAGATAGATAAATAGACATATAATCGGGTGTAGCATATCTTCCAAATCGTGTAACAGCATAATTTTCCATCCCACTAAATAATAAAACAGCTTGAATTTATACTACTAACAAATACCTGTAACACAATTCCGGGTTTCATGAACGATGCAATCGTCTGGTGCTGATTGAGTTTTCATTCAGCACCTGACGATTGCATCTGGCATGAATGAGAATGTACGATGTTTACGTTATAACTGCACAAGGTCAGAACTAAGGAGTTCCTAATGAAGAATGGCTTCACTACGCGATGCGAATCATCTCAAAGACAAGATTGGCAACCATCCCTCAACGATTATCTATCTATCTATCTATCTATCTATCTATCTATCTATCTATCTATCTATCTATATAGACACACACTCGCACATATGTATGTGTGCATGTGTGCATGTGTGTGTGTGTGTGTGTGTGTGTGTGCACTGAATAGAATTGAGTGCTATGTGCATCTATGTATAGATGTGTGTCCGCCTGTCGGGAAAAAGAAGACAAAAAAAAAAAGAAGAGGATAAAGAAGAGATGTAAGTAAGAATAAAATGACGGGGGAGTAGTGTGAGGTGCGGATGAAGAGTGATAATGAGATGTGAGGAGACGGGGGGTGGTGAGAGGAAGGATAAGGAGGAAAATATTTGAATAGAAAGAAAGAAAAAACAACAACAACAACAATAAACGCACAAAATTTCCACCAAAAAAAAAAAAAATTCTTAAAATGTAAAAAAGCATAAAAACAAAAAAGCGTAAGAATACAAAACAACAACAACAACAGCATCAACAACAACCACATCTCCAAAATAAAGCAAGGAAATCATGTTGAGAACAACGTATTTAAAATCGTGAGAAGGGAGCGGCGTGCCTTTGATCTTTTATTTATTTATTTATTTTAATTCTTTTATATTCATTTTATATATTTTTCTTTCTATTTTATTGTAGTTGCTTTATTTCTCTCAAATTGTATCATATACTTGCAGTCTTTTCTTTCTATTTTTCTTTCTTTGTCTTATGCTTCATTCATACGTTCTTTCTCTTTTGCGTTTTTTCCTTTCTTTTTTTTTTACTTTTTATTTTAGTCTTTCGTTCACGCTTTCTTCCATTTTTCTTTGTTTTTCATTCTTTTATTTTCAGATAATTTACACTATATTTTCAACAATTTCTTTCCCTTTTGCTTTTTCTTTTTCTTTCCTTCCTTCCTTACATACTTCCTTCATTCCTTCCTTCATTCATTTTTTTCTTTATTATTCGTCTATGTTTTCTTTTATTTGTGCTTTCTTTCTTTCTTTCTTTCGTTCAGTTGTTTTTATCTTTTTATTAGTTTGTTTCGTTCATGTTTCCAACTCTTTCGTTCATTATGTTTCAATCGTTGATTCGTTCTTTCTTTCATTTCCTCTGTTTTTCTTTGTTTCTTTATTTTTAATGTTTGTTTTTTATTCAATCCTTTTTCTTATCTCTCACTCATTCATTCATTCATTCTTGTGTCTTATACAATCTTTCTTTCTTTCTTTCTACTTTCAATCTCTTATTCTTTCTTCCTTTGATTTACTTTTCTTTATTTCATTCAATTATTTATTCTTTCTTTCTTTTATTCTTCCAGTCGTTTTTCTATTTCACACAATTACATTCCTTCTTTAATTCTTTTGTCTGTTATTTCATTCACTCTTTCTTTCTCTTTTTCTTTTTTTTATGCCTTCAGTAACCCCTTCATTCATTCTTTATTAATTTCCTTCATTTCTCCTCATTTTCTTCCATCGATTCTTGTTTTTTCATTCTTCGTTCGTTGGTTCTTTCATTCATTTTTTATACTAATTCTTCTTTTTCTTTGAATCCATTCTTTTATATTATTTCTTATTTCCCACCGGAACTTCTTCCCCCTCTCTCTCTCTCTCTGATCTTCTTTCTCCCTCTCTCCTCCGGATTAATTTGTCTCCAATTCATTCTCACTCACACTGATATCCGCCACTTTCTTCCTTACTATCTTCCTCATCCTGTCACTCACTAGCACTCTTCTAGCGTCTCCTCTGCTCCCTTGCAGATATCCTCCCCTCCTTTATCTATGTTCGTTTCTCTGTCTTTATCATTAACGATGGGGAGAGATAGGTAGATAGATAAAGAGAATGAAAGAGAGAGAAAGAGAGAGAGAGAGAGAGACAAAGAAAGAGAGAGATTTCTCTCTATCTTTCTCTCTATCTTTCTCTCTCTGATCTATTCTTGCTATTTCACTATTTCTTCTCTTTTTTATCAATTATTTTCTCTTTTCTTTTCCGTATATTTCACCACATCTTTCTTTCTTTCTTTCTTTCTTTCTTTCTTTCTTTCTTTCTTTCTTTTCGTACCGTCTCTCTCCCTTGTCTATCGATCCTTCTCTTTCAAGCCCTACTTCGTTTTTCATTCGTCCAAATTCTCCTTCCCTTTTCCTTTCATTTAACTCACCTGTTTCTGTTACTGTTCATTTTTTTCATTTTCTCTTTCCTCCTGAACATCTCCTCTTCCTTCTCTTGTTTGAGGCCTTTTATCTTTTCTCCCTATTAACCTTGCTCTGTCCACACTCCTCCTCCTCTTTCTCCTCCTCCTTCTCATTCTTCTTCTTCTTCTTCTTCTTCTTCTTCTTCTTTATAAATCATCGTTTTCTTTTACATGTTCTTTAAATTATCATATTTCTTTCTTTCTTTCTTTCTTTCTTTCTTTTCAATTATCATCGTTCTTCTCTTTCTTATTTTTTCTTCTATTTGTATTCTTGAATTCACCGTCTTTCATTTATAATTTCTATCTTCTTCTTCTTCTTCTTCTTCTTCTTCTTCTTCTTCCTCGTCGTCGTCTTCTTTCTATTCTTGCTATCATATTTCACTATTTCTTTTCTTTTTTTTTATCAAATATTTTCTCTTTTCTTTTCCTTCTATCTCACCACATCTTTCTTTTTTCCTTTCTTTTCCTACGTTCTTTCTTTCCTTCTCTATCGAAACTTCTCTTTCAAACCTTATCTCTTTTTTTTTTATTCGTCCACATTTTCATACTTCCCCCTTTTCTTTTATTTACCATCTTTTTTTCTGTCACTTCCAAACCTATCTCACCCCCGTCTCTCTCTCTCTCTCCCTCTCTTTCAAAAACGAAGACCTCTTTATATCTCTCTCATCAACATCCTATTCATTTATCTCACCAGATTATCTCTCTCTGTCTCTCTCTCCCAATAACACTATCTTCCTTATCTTTCTTTCATCAACAACTCTTTCGTTTGTCTCTCTTTCTCATCATATTTCTCCTGTTCTCTCTCATCAGATCTTGCATTTTTCTCTCTCGTTTTTAGTCTTCCTAGCATCTTTCTCTTTCATACTTAATTATTTTTACCCTCTCCTTTTTAACACTGCCTCTTCCCAATCCTCTCTCCCTCTCTCTTATCAAAATCCTTCTCTTCCTCTATCTCTTTCTAAAATCCTTTTTTCCTTCCCCTCACTCTTATCATCCTCTTTTTTCCTACTCTTTCTTTCACTCTCATCATCTTGTTCTTCTCTTTCTCATTAATATAAATCTCTTCTTTCTTCCTCTCCCTCTTATTCATCTCAATCTCACATCTTCTCTTTCTCATATCTGTCTGTTTCCTTCTCTCCCACGCCAATATTTCTTTCTTTCTCTCTCTCACCAATGTCCTCTTCTTTCTCTCTTTCTCATCAGCCCCCTCTCCACCTTCCTCTCTGTCCCAGCACCCTCTTCCTTCTTTCTTTCCTCTCTATCTCGCTTCTCGTTCATTCCATTTCATGCCCAGTCTCTCCTCTCTCTGATCTATTCTTGCTGTCATATTTCACTATTTCTTCTCTTTTTTTTAGTCAAATATTTTCTCTTTTCTTTTCTGTATATTTCACCACATATTTCTTTCTTTCTTTCTTTCTTTTTCTATCGTCTCTTCTCCCTTGTCTATCGATCCTTCTCTTTTCCTCGTTCTTCATTCGTCCAAATTCTCCTTCCTTTTTCCTTTCATTTAACTCGCCTGTTTCTGTCACTTTTCATTTTCTCTTTCCTCCTGAACAGTTCTTCTTCCTTCTCTTGTTTGAGGCCTTTTATCTTTTCTCACTATCAGTCTCGCTCTGTCCACCATTCTTCTCTTCTTCTTCACCTCCTTTTTCTTCGTTGTCTTCTTCTTAGTTATTTTCTTCTTCTTCTTCTTCTTCTTCTTCTTCTTCTTCTTCTTCTTCTTCTTCTTCTTCTTCTTACTCATAATCCTCTTCTCCCACAAATCGCCCTTTTCTCTCCCATTATTTCTTTTTAATTTTTGCTTCTCTCTCTCTTTCTCCTCCTCTCTCTCTCTCTCTCTCTCTCTCTTTCGCTCGCTCACTCGCACTATCTCTTGATTCTTTTGCTCCCTTCCTCTGTCTTCATAGCTTGTGACGTAATTACCTATCGATCGCAATCCAAGCGATGGAGAACTCCACTCACTCTGCGAACAACTGGCACAGAATCCAGCCAATCGGCGCCAGTTTCTTTAATCACGTGACCACTTTCTACACAAACCTTCCCTTTCCTCCATTTTTTTTTCTAGTGCACGCATCCACCGTCAACGTTAACGTCAGCACCGCTACCTCTGACCCCACCGCCGCCTCTGGTGCCGTCGCCAACGTCATCGACGTTACAGAACGACGTGTCGGCCATGTTGGACTGTGGATCTTCTCTCGACCCCTCTCCCAACTGCAACAACAACTGAAACATGGCGACGTGGAAAAATTCCAGTTTCATGAAAAACAGGGGGCGATTTCTTCGTTAGTCTCTCCTTTTCTTTCGTCTCTCCGTATAACTGCATTCTTTACCCCAATTTCTTCTCTCTTCTTTTCTCTCCTCCGCCCCCTTTTTATATTATTCCATTCTTCTTCTTCTTCTTCTTCTTCTTCTTCTTCTTCTTCTTCTTCTTCTTCTTCTTCTTTCTGAATTTATTTTTTCTTCTTTCTTTCTCAGACATTTTGTCATTGTAATTTTTCCATCCTATGTTTTGTTTTTCGCCTCTCTCCCTTCCTCTCTCTCTCCCTTCTTCTCTCTCTCCCTTCCTCTCTCTCTCTCTCTCTCTTTCTCCCATGATACACATATCTTCCCTTCTCTATTTCTCATCCCATTCCCTCTCCTTCTCCGTTTCTCATTTTCTTTTAATTTCCTTTCACTCTCTCTATTTCCCACTTATTCTCTTTATTCCAATCACTTGTTTCCATGTACCTTCTCCCTAGAATTTTACTGTCTTTCGCTTATTCTCTCCCTCACAAACTCCAATCTATTTTTACATACCGCGCATACTCGTGTTTAAGTCGAGTTTTTAAGGTCGAATTTTAAAGCAAAATTTGGGTGAAGGGTGTGTCGACCTACAGAGGAGTAATAGTTTTCTTGGGTTGAAATCCATGCGCGTTAAGAAGATATCCGAGTTTTAGCTTCAAGCACGGAAAAGAAATAAATAAATTAATAGATAAAAGGAGCGTTTGTCAGATTGTCTTTTAATTGATTTGAATGGAAAATATGGGATGCCTTGATTTTTCCGGTGTTTCAGTCAAGTGGCGTAATAATAAAATGATAAAAATTTTTACCTTTTGTTATCGGCGCTTCAGGCTGACTGACCGTCACTTTTGTGGGACGCAGGAATATTTTTAGGGAGATTTTAGTAAGACGTCTCTCATACATATTAATTCAGAGAAATTTTCTTCTGATATGAAGGGCCGACTTCCACATGTAGTCGACAAACGCCCGCATACTTATACACACATACACATGCACTCTCTCTATCTTCCTATCTCTCATACACATACTCTCTCTCCCTATCTCTATCTCTCGCCCTCTCTCTCTCTCTCTCACACACACACACACACACACATATATATATATATATATATATATATATATATATATATATATATGCAATAGCCATTTCCAAAAATCCGGGATGTGCGGCTGCTGTAATAGATAGCGGTGCAGAATGAGAAAACGTGGAGTCTAGATCGAATTACATTCAGTTTCATTACATTCACTTACGCTCAAATAACCAAGGGAAAGGCATGAATCCATCATTTCCTTACACCTTTGGTTTAAATAGTAGTGATTGTATCAGAAAAAAAATCATTGTTATCTCCCACAAAAAATTGTTAATGCAATATTCACTCCCACCTCCAAAAAAAAAAAAAAAAAAAAGAATTATTCTTACATTTCAAAATATCTTTCGGCTATAAATAACTCACAACGTGTTGGTAAGCCGTAAAAAACGAATCAATGATAATAACAAAAAAAAATAATAATAATAACAATTTTAAAATCTTACGAAAAGTTAACATATATATATATATATATATATATATATATATATATATATATATATATATATGTGTGTGTGTGTGTGTGTGTGTGTGTGTTGTCATGTCACCTTAATTTTCGGCAGTATTTTCATACATCGGTCAAACAATCTATTTGAAATATATAGATTATATCCACAATTTGATATGTTTATTTTGGGGAGTAGGAAGATTGTGTAGGGCCAAACTAATCGATGTCAGTGATGGGCATTCTTGCTTTCAATCTTATTATTCGACATCCTTTCTGCACTTTTGTGGCATCTATCGCCATCAGTTCACTGACATCGAGGAGTATCGTTACTATTTGAGCCACCGAGCATGTCCTCGAACAGATACAAACATACTGAGATCGATAATGAACACACTGAAATCGATATTAAGAGACTACCGTATGTCGATAGATATGAAGAGATTAAGACACACACGCATAGAATGAGATAATTAAACACAGACAGATTTAAGCAGAATATGCTTACACACACATATATATATATGAAGAAATATAGTTTTAGGGTGTACTATATTTATCGGGTAAAGGGATAATATATATATATATATATATATATATATATATATATATATATATATATATATATATATATATATATAAAGTGAACATTAAAGTCAACAGGGCAGGGCGACAGGCCGTTTCATGCTGAACGATCGTCAGGCCGCCTGACGATTGTGTTTAATGTGAAACAGCCTGTCGCCTCTATATATATATATATATATATATATATATATATATATATATATATATATAATATACGGTTCACCCTGTACAAGGTCCAGGGGCCATTCGTAGTAGAGGGTTAGTTAAGAGGTAAATAAAAGGAGGAGATAACGGTTACCCCTAGATTTGGACACGTAAAAAATCGTAGTGATCGGGGAAACATCATCTTGTTAGTCGGTTCCATAAAGCAGTGCTCCGCGCGGAAATAAACTGTTCGGGTGACAATGAATTCTCACCGATGAAATACTGAGGTAATGTAGGTGGTATGCTGCAATATAAATGGTATGGCGAGTCCTAGCCGTGAAGATTATACCTGACGGATCTAAGGAATTTAGTTCGTCCATGGATGCAACGATAGAGCAGCGAGTGACTCGACACCTCCCAACTGTGAGAGGAACGTCTGGAGGTGGGGAATAATTCGTCAGCCAAAAGGACTCCTGGACGCGTTGCTTCGCCTTTCGAGACTGAAAACTGAGGATTGGGCTGCTACCGTCAAAATATGACAACAGTACACCATTTTGGGCCTGATCTGGCCCTTGTCAAGGTAGAGTTTAGCATGTGGGGTCAGATATTTACTGGAGCGCTACAGGGAACCGACTATTTTTCATGCATCTTTGGCGATGGATCCTATGAATTGAATGAATTTCATTTGAGATCAGGGGCATATATATATATATATATATATATATATATATATATATATATATATATATATATATAGTGGTACTCGCTTGGAAAAACCTTAAGTATTTCGGCTTTTAGTTGAACAAACCAATACGCAAGGGAAAATGAGGAATAACAAAAAAAAGAAAAAAGAAAGAACATGAAATTGAGGCGAAAACAATCGTCTAGAATTCAAGTTCAGAGTCCAAAGAAAAAAAAACCAGAACGAGTAAAAGTAATTACGTAAAGAAGAGCAAATTTAATATAAACCTAAAGAGCCAGGTAAACCTACCTAGGTTTCACCTAAACGGATCGTCAGGGCAAAACTGGCCAAAAAGGTAAAAATGGAGCAGAATATATAGCTTAAACCAAAAACAACCATGACCACGTGACAAAAATAAATAAATAAATAAAAAAGTAAACACTCAACAACGGGGTGGGGGTAGGGGTTACGTTCTTTATTCAACAAAAAACAAATCCTATTCTAATAACCAGAAATAATAACCAGCAATATTTTTTTGGGAATAACTTATTTCAGACACGTAAGCCAGACTAGGCTAAAACATCTCCCGTTTCAAATTTAGACACCCCCACCTTACCCTGACTTGACATCTATGAAAGTAACTCTATACTGATACTTATTATTAACACCCAACACACTCCGACCCAATTTAAACAATTCGCCCTAGCTGTTACCATGGAAATTTTGATTTCAATTTTTAAAACACGTAAATTTCTGAAATAAGTTATTCCCAAAAAAATTTCGCTTGAAGATGGAACAGAGCTTACTTTAACTCAATTTAATTCAAAAAATTATATTGAAGTTTTCGGCTCTTGTTTTGAAACATGAAACCTCTTATGTCGTGAGTTGGAATCATATTTTAAATAAATAATTACATATATATATATATATATATATATATATATATATATATATATAAGTGTGTCTGTGTGTGTGTGTCTCTGTGTTTGTGTGTCTGTGTACATGAGTTATGAAATAGACTAAGTCCGACAATTATTTTAATATATTTTCATTTAATGCGTTATTTTTATAGATACAATTAAATGTAACAGATTAAGGATGCAGTAATGACAAAGGGGCATAATTAACGACACCCCAAATTCGAACATCGATAATCCCGACAAAGTTTTAAAAATTTTTGACAATTAGAAACTTTTATGAACATTTCCGATTGTCATATATATATATATATATATATATATATATATGAACATTTAGAGGTGATAGGATGTTTATTGCTAGACGCAATCGTCAGGCCATGAGTGTTTTTTTCTCGACTATTTATATATACGGGTCAGTGGTGCATTGTGGGTAGTCTAAAGAGTCAGGATCGTTAGGGTAAGCTAATATAATAATATGTTCCATGTCATCTTCTTACCCTAAAGATCGATTTAGGTGAAAACTAGGGAGGTTGTTCCTGGCTCTTTAGGATTATTTTATTCCTTTCTTCTACGTATCGTAGTTCCTTTTTGGGGTCTGGAAATTTATGACACTGGTTGATATTTTTTTACCCTGTTCGGAAGTTTCTTGTCCTTTCCTTTTTTTCCAATTTTTTCCTCGAATTCCAATTTGTTTTGATATACTTTCAATTTGTGCGCAGGTATGCAGAAAATAGAAAAGAACACGTTGGGTGCATAATCCGGAGTTCCTTAGTATTTTTGTTTTTATTTTTAAGAAGACAGTGCTCCATTCAGAAGTAGAGCTTATATTATAATATTTTTTGTTTAAAAATATGATTCCTTCGCTACATATAAATAAGAGTTCTCATGTTTCAAAAACGAGAGCCGAAACCATCTAAATAATTATTAAAATTAAATTGAATTAAGGTGTTTAGTCCCGTTTCATCTTCAATCGAAATTTAAAGATTTCAAAAATATATATATATAATATTATAAATTAACTGATTTAAAATATGGTTTCATCGCTACACAGGAATTACCATGTTTTAAAAACAGAAAACAAAAACTTCAAATTCACTTATATTAAATTAAAAGCATTAGTTCTGTTTCAAATTTCTAATATTCGCTTGAAGCTGAAACAAAACTAATGCATTTAATTTAATATAATTAAATTTGAAGTTTTTGTTTTCTGTTTTAAAAACATCGTAATTCCTGTGTAGCGATGGAACCATATTTTTAAATCAGTACATTTATAATATTTATGCTCTGTAAATTTACATTGAGCCCTGTTTTGTAAAAATAAAAATATCAATAAGAACACTGGATTACATATCTTACTGTTCTTCCTTTTTAACTAACTATACTATATATATATATATATATATATATATATATATATATATATATATATATATAGGCTGAGGGAAAAGGAAATATATATATATATATATATATATATATATATATATATATATATATATATATATATATTGGGTGAGGGAAAAGAAAAACTGTGAAACATAAAATCTAATATAAAATTTAGCTTCAAATGTGCCTCAAAAATGAGTTATGATATCTCCGCTTTCTTTCAAAGATGTAAGTAACTATTTGCATTTTTTTAAAATATACATTTACGAAGCAAAGAGTATTGATAAGGTGGGGAAAGCCCCTAAATTTATTAACAAGCTAAAACAAAAATGGCGGATGTTAGTATGTCACTTCGTTTTCTTCACATAACTAAAGATAGAACGTCGACAGTTTTGCGTGATCCGGTAAAAAAAAATGTTTCTATCTTTCCAGCGATCTACCTGTTCGTAATTGAAGATATGCATGTGTGGAGTAAAAATCGAATCTGTTTGAGTGGATTGCAATAAAGATCAACAGACATACAACAAAAACGAATCACTCTCCCATATATATATATATATATATATATATATATATATATATATATATAATGTACATAATAATGTCAGCTCATTTCAGGACTTAGGTGATCATGGTTTTCCATATATTCCTTTTCTTTATAATGGGTGCATTGCTATGAAACTATAAATTCTTTTACAAACACAGTTACACCAATTTCACGAAAATTGATTATATATATATATATATATATATATATATATATATATATATATATTGTCACTTATCTGATTGATGTTATATTCAACACACCGACTCCAGAGTTTCGTAGACGAATCTTTTTGTAGTCATTTGGTGAACTCGTCAGGGGTTTATATTCGCTTTATTTGTAATGTTCCAAACATGTGTCACTGTGCTTAATAAAATCGAGATTGCGAAGCAAGACTATTATGAAGAAACTTTAAAAAAAATATGATACAACAGAATTCTTTGATTTTACTAGTATGTACCATTAAAAGCAAATGTTATACTTCTCTATCAGCAGGTTAACAATATTTTTGTCTTTTGCCCGAGCGAAAATTCCCTGAATAATTACAAGAATAAATGAATAACACATTGAAACTCTAAAGTCAACATTAGAGCATATAATACAGTTTTTTCATTTTTACCCAAGCTATGGGTAAAATAGCAGGACAGACTGGGTTCTATAGCCTTGGATGGCAACTGGTCTAGGAGAAGGACAACTCTGAATTCAAAACCTGCGGAGGGTCGTTTGGGAACCTTGTGGCATTCGGTGCACCAGGTCTCTGTATTCGTCCCTTCAAAAAGTGTAGATGGTCCTGCACGAGGCCTTCACCACTATAATCAAATCTCATGTGCCGGTGTCGGGCTGTCGGTTTCCTGGAAACTGATCTGCTTGACCCTCATACGTCGAATCTCGACGGGAAAGTCAATTATTATATATATATATATTCACAATATATATTATACACACCATCATATTAATAAACACATAAATACAGGTGTGCGCATTTTAGTACGCGCCAACATATACACATAAGCAATTCGTGGCTAGCCGCAGGTACATATTCGTGTTTTCGGACATACATATATACGCAGTTGTAATTCTTTACCACCCCAGACAAACATATAAGTAGATCCTCACTCCCGCCACCAGCCATAGTCAAACAAACATAAATAGATTCAATTTTAAAACATAAACCAGTTCGTCTGATGATAGCAAAAGCGTGAGTCCCAGAGCCACAAACTCATATCCATGCAACTCAATATCTATCTATCTATCTATCTATCTATCTATATCTATCTATCTATATGTATGTATATCTATATCATATCCATACAACTAATATTTTAAATCTATCTATCTATCTATCTATATATATATATTTTAAATTAACTTTTTTAAAATATCGTTTTTTTTTCGCTACACAGTAATAACCATGTTTCAAAAATGGAAGCTTCAAATGTAATTTTGTAATTAAATTAAAAACATTAGTTCCATTTCATCAGCAAGCGAATTTTGGAGTAACATTTTTTTAAATTTACTGAGTTTTAAAGGCACAGAAAATTCATAATTCAAATGTTTCCAAGGATACAGAGAGACCCAATCATTTAGACAAGGGGTGGTAGCATGTTCATTTTTATTAACTTTTGTTGTATCAGTTATTAGTTACGTTCGAAAAAAGGGGTTATGTTTAGGTTCGGGTAGGGATGTATTTTTCAACAAATTCTGACATCCGTTAAATGCATGTCGTCTGGGTTTATATATATATATATATATATATATATATATATATATATATATATATATATATATATATATATATATATAAAAAAGTGTAATATTAAAGCTAATCATATGAGATATATTTTTAGTCCTAGTCTTAAAAATATCGTATAAAAAACAATAAAAAAATCCAATAAAATACATAAAAATCTAAAACAATTAAATGTAGAAAAACAATTAAAAGTACAAAATAAAAAAGCAGGATCGTCGTCAATACTGACTGACCCTAAAACGATTGAAATTAACTAAGCTGACCTTTTAATAAGGATAAAACCAAAATTATTCTATGGATATTTCAGATCCGATTTTTTCTAAAATCTATGTGTTATGCGTTCATTTTCAGATATAGATACAATCAATAAATCCGTAACCTACTGATGAAACAAAACAAAACAAAAAAAAAGAAAAACATCAATTTTCATCAACCAATATTTTTAGCATTTACTCGATGATTTAATTAAGGCAAACCAGGCATTAAAACTTAAGAAATTCTGTTCACGTAGAGACATTAGTTTTTTAAATACCGAGAAAAATGTGTCAGCCAATGACCATAGCTATTGCGACACCGTTCCGAAAGAATATTTAAAAGTTAATTACTGTATTTTCAGACGTCTGTGGGTAAATTATTTTCTTTAATTTCATAAAAAAATCTGTGGAAAAACCTTGTAGATGTAAATTTTAGCCCATAAGCGGGTATCTAGTCTTCAGACGGCCCACAATTCTTGTTCATATCAAATCGGCGATTTAAGAAAACATCTCATAAATAAATATGAACGTAGGTCAGCTTGATCTTAAGTGTCGATCAATCAATCAAGAGACAAATACATTGAATACAGAACTCCTTTCTCTGCGATTGTATTTTTTGTATTGCTTAGCGTGGTATAAATATGTAAGGTGTGAATTCTTGTTAATGAGCAGGCATCTGGACCTGGAATAGATTCCCCGCACATTGCGGTCACTGGTAAAATTCATCGAAGTCCCACAACAGCGGATATTTATACATTATCTACAAGAATATGAACGAAGGTCAGTTGGGTAATGTTTACCAAGGCTTAAGTAATATCCACAGGAGATAAATAAAATTCATGTTTATCGAGATAAGTTTTTGTATTTATGTATGTAAATTGCTACCTACATTTATACGCCTAAATCTCTAGTCTTCAGAGAAGAAAGTAAAAGGAAACGGATATATATATATATATATATATATATATATATATATATAGATAGATAGATAGATAGATATATATATATATATATGTATGTATGTATGTATGTATATATATATATATGATTCCACAACTATATATATATATATATATATATATATATATATATATATGTATCTGTGTGTGTGTGTGTGCGTGTGGTTGTGCAATCAGTGTAAGATATTATGTGCATTGCTTAATATATATATATATATATTAAATAGCTCTGTTACTTTAGATTGAGCACTGGTTTTTCTTACGCTATAGAGTATTTATATGTATTTGTACATTTAACCATTCCGTTACACACACACACACACACACACACACACACACACACACACACACACACACACACACACACACACACATATATATATATATGTATGTATGTATGTATGTATGTATGTATGTATGTATGTTTATATGTATATATGGAGAGAGAGAAAGACTGAGAAAGAGATATTGAAAGCGAGAAGTGGAAATGAGAGCAAAAAGAGAGAGAGAAAGAGTGGGGAAAATAGAGAGTAAGTAACAAGGAAAGACGAAAAGGAAAAATTAAAAAGGTTGACATGTAAATATGGGGAATTGAAGAAAGAGGGTTAGAGGGAGAAAGACAAGGAAGAAAAATGAAAGAAAGAGAAAGATACAGAAAGAGGGAGAGAGAGAGAGAGATAGAGAGAGAGAGATAGAGAGAGAGAGAGAGAGAGAAAAGGATATGCGAGAACAAAATAGAAAAATGGAAGAGAGATAATGAGTGGGAATAACTTAGAGAAAATGAGGAGGAGGAGGAGTGGGGTAGAACAAAAGAGAAGTAGATAAATAAAGGTGGAATAGAATTACAAGTCAAAGGGAGAAAGAAAGTAGTGAAGGAGAAAGAAAGAAAGTGAAAATAGAAGGAAGAGAGAGAGAAAATAAAAACAGTATAAGTGAAAAGAAGGAAAAAGTGAAAGTGAAAGTGAAAGTGAAACTAAAGAAATAACAAAAAGATTTTGAAAAGGAAAGCGAAATAAATAGGAGTGGGGGGAATAATAACAGAAAGTGAGAGAATCTGAAGAAAATGAGAGGAGGAGGAGGAGGAGGAGGAGGAAGAGGGTGGAGTTAAAAACGGTAGAAGATGGGGAGATATGAAGGGAAAAAGGACATAGGTTAGCAGAAGAGGAGATTTATGAGAAACAGAAATGGTGAGAATAAAGACCGTGAGAAAAAAAGATGAATAAGAATAGGACGAAAAGAAAAGAATAGACAAAAAGTGAGAAAAAAGTAGTATAGAGTGAGAGAATAGAAAAAAGAGAAAGGGAAATGAAGAAGTAGAAATAAAAGGAAATAGAAAGAAAGTTAGGATAGAAAGAGCGGGAAAGAGAGATAAATAAGGAACAGAAGGGAGTCTTAGAAAGCGGGCAGTCATTGAGAAGCGAGAAGTGAGTGGAAAAGAAGAGCCAAGAAGAGACAAAAGAAACCGGGGAAGAGAGAGAAAGAGAGAAAACAGAGAGGGAATAGAAAACTAAAGAGAAGAATGAAGAAGTGAGAAAGGGAGTGCATCAAAGGAAGGGATGGAGAAGAGAAAAAAAGAAACGAAGGGGAGGAGAAAAGGCGGAAGAGAAGGAGAGAATCACAATGGGAGAAATAGAGAGAGAGAGAGAGAGAGAGAGAGAAAGGAAGAAAGAAAAAAGAAAGAGGATGAAGAAGAAGAGTTTAAAGAGAAAAAAGGCATGAGAAACTGAAAGGCAGAGACTAAATATGAGAGAAAAGGGTGGAGAGAGGACGAGAGTAAGAAAGAAATGAATCAAGAATATGTACAATTCATGCTGGATGCTATTCTGTCAAGTAAACTAACATTTACATTTCATACCTCATTCTGAATGCGGTCAGTCTGTTCTAAATCAACAATTCATTAATTAAAAATGCCGCACGAATACATATGAACAGGGAAACCCATCCATACGAACAGTTAAATGCAGGGAATGTTTGATTAGTTTGAAAGACGTTTCCACTGAATTTGAACCACACTCGGTACATTTCCACCTTGTATATAGCAACAAGTGTAGAGGAATAAGTTCATAGCTTAACACATAATTATTGGTAAAATTTCCATCTAAAATTTTCACTGTATAATAATTGTTCTAGGACATTAGTATTAATCAATGAATTAAGTATCTTGGTAAAAAAGGAAGGAAGTACCATGATAAAAATGAATCAAGTACTTTGATAAAAGAAGGAATTAAATACCTTGATAAAAATGAAATTAAGTACTTTATTAGACTTTTATTCTCTACAGTCTTCTCTCACTTTCTCCACCATCTTTCGCCCTTTCTTCTAACCACTCTCTCTTTACAAGGCAGCCGTTTCATCTCTCCACCATCTTTCTCCCATTGACCAATTCTTCTAACCCCTCTCTCTTTCCCAAAGGGATCTTTTCATTTCTCCTCCATCTTTTTTACCACTGACACTCTCTTCTAACCCTCTCTCTTTACAACGCTGCCTTTTCATCTCTCCACCATCTTTCTCCCACTGACCCTTTCTTCTAACCACTCTCTTTTACCAAAGGGATCTTTTTTCATTTCTCCTCCATCTTTTACCACTGACACTCTCTTCTAACCCCTCTCTTTTACAACGCTGCCTTTTCATCTCTCCACCATCTTTCTCCCACTGACCCTTTCTTCTAACCACTCTCTCTTTACCATAGGGATCTTTTCATTTCTCCTCCATCTTTTTACCACTGACACTCTCTTCTAACCCCTCTCTTTTACAACGCTGCCTTTTCATCTCTCCACCATCTTTCTCCCACTGACCCTTTCTTCTAACCACTCTCTCTTTACCATAGGGATCTTTTCATTTCTCCTCCATCTTTTTACCACTGACACTCTCTTCTAACCCCTCTCTCTTTACAACGCTGCCTTTTCATCTCTCCACCATCTTTCTCTCCACTGACCCTTTCTTCTAACCACTCTCTTTTACCATAGGGATCTTTTCATTTCTCCTCCATCTTTTTACCACTGACACTCTCTTCTAACCCCTCTCTCTTTACAACGCTGCCTTTTCATCTCTCCACCATCTTTCTCCCACTGACCCTTTCTTCTAACCACTCTCTCTTTACCATAGGGATCTTTTCATTTCTCCTCCATCTTTTTACCACTGACACTCTCTTCTAACCCCTCTCTCTTTACAACGCTGCCTTTTCATCTCTCCACCATCTTTCTCCCACTGACCCTTTCTTCTAACCACTCTCTCTTTACCATAGGGATCTTTTCATTTCTCCTCCATCTTTTTACCACTGACACTCTCTTCTAACCCCTCTCTCTTTACAACGCTGCCTTTTCATCTCTCCACCATCTTTCTCCCACTGACCCATTCTTCTAACCACTCTCTCTTTACCAAAGGGATCTTTTCATTTCTCCTCCATCTTTTACCACTGACACTCTCTTCTAACCCCTCTTTTACAACGCTGCCTTTTCATCTCTCCACCATCTTTCTCCCACTGACCCATTCTTCTAACCACTCTCTCTTTACCAAAGGGATCTTTTCATTTCTCCTCCATCTTTTTACCACTGACACTCTCTTCTAACCCCTCTCTCTTTACAACGCTGCCTTTTCATCTCTCCACCATCTTTCTCCCACTGACCCATTCTTCTAACCACTCTCTCTTTACCAAAGGGATCTTTTCATTTCTCCTCCATCTTTTTACCACTGACACTCTCTTCTAACCCCTCTCTCTTTACAACGCTGCCTTTTCATCTCTCCACCATCTTTCTCCCACTGACCCTTTCTTCTAACCACTCTCTCTTTACCATAGGGATCTTTTCATTTTCTCCTCCATCTTTTTACCACTGACACTCTCTTCTAACCCCTCTCTTTTACAACGCTGCCTTTTCATCTCTCCACCATCTTTCTCCCACTGACCCATTCTTCTAACCACTCTCTTTACCAAAGGGATCTTTTCATTTCTCCTCCATCTTTTTTACCACTGACACTCTCTTCTAACCCCTCTCTCTTTACAACGCTGCCTTTTCATCTCTCCACCATCTTTCTCCCACTGACCCTTTCTTCTAACCACTCTCTCTTTACCAAAGGGATCTTTTTTCATTTCTCCTCCATCTTTTACCACTGACACTCTCTTCTAACCCTCTCTTTTACAACGCTGCCTTTTCATCTCTCCCACCATCTTTCTCCCACTGACCCTTTCTTCTAACCACTCTCTTTTACCATAGGGATCTTTTCATTTCTCCTCCATCTTTTTACCACTGACACTCTCTTCTAACCCCTCTCTTTTTACAACGCTGCCTTTTCATCTCCACCATCTTTCCCCACCCCATTCTTTTCCTCCCTTTTTACCATGGGATCTTTCATTCTCCACCATCTTTCTCCCACTGACCCATTCTTCTACCATCTTTCTTTACCATAGGGATCTTTTCATTTCTCCATCCATCACCCTTTCTTCTAACCACTGACTCTTTACCATAACCTCCTCCATCTTTTTACCACTGACACCTTTTCATCTCTCTTTTTACAACTATCTTCCACCATCTCCCACTGACCCATTCTTCTAACCACTCTCTTTTTACCATAGGGATCTTTTCATCTCTCCACCATCTTTCTCCCACTGACCCATTCTTCTAACCACTCTCTCTTTACCATAGGGATCTTTTCATTTCTCCGTCATCTTTTTACCACTCACCCTTTCTTCTAACCCCTCTTTCTTTACCAAAGTGATCTTTTCATTTCTCCTCCATCTTTTTACCACTGACACTCTCTTCTAACCCCTCTCTCTTTACAATGCTGCCTTTTCATCTTTTCACCATCTTTCTCCCACTGACCCATTCTTCTAACCACTCTCTCTTTACCATAGGGATCTTTTTATTTCTCCGTCATCTTTTTACCACTCACCCTTTCTTCTAACCCCTCTCTCTTTACAAGGCTGCCTTTTCATCTCTTCAACATCTTTCTCCCACTGACCCATTCTTCTAACCCCTCTCTCTTTACCATAGGGATCTTTTCATTTCTCCGTCATCTTTTTACCACTCACCCTTTCTTCTAACCCCTCTCTCTTTACAAGGCTGCCTTTTCATCTCTTCAACATCTTTCTTCTACTGACCCGTTCTTCTAACCACCCTCTCTATACATAGCTGCCTTTTCATCTCTCTATCATCTTTGTCCCACTGACCCATCCTTCTAACCCCTCTCTCTTTACAAGGTTGCCTTTTCATTTCTCCTCCATCTTTCTCCTACTGACCCATCCTTCTAACTCCTCTCTCTTTACGTAGCTGTCTCTTCATTTCTACTCCATCTATCTTATATTATTATCTATTAACTGAAAAGGTTCCGGGTAAAACAGAGTAATGTTCAACTGATATTCATCCAGAGTTATATATAATTTTGTTAAAATTCTAATGTTACTTTGATCTGTAATCATAATTATATCATTTATAATCATATATATATATATATATATATATATATATATATATATATATATATATATGTGTGTGTGTGTGTGTGTGTGTGTATGTATGTGTGTATTTTGAACAATAAAAAATATTAAAAAATATTATTATTTAAAATGTTCAGACACACTTGGTTGTATATTAATATTCCTTCGCTTTTATTATTTCATTTAGATTCCTAGACTAGTTTCGGCCAACATGGCCATCATCAGGAGAAAAATATTTTTCTGCTTGCTGGCAGCAGTGAGCTACAGAAATGAATGTCTTGATAGAGAAAATGATCTTTTGTCTGTAGATTTTATCTGTTTTTTTTTATTTAACACGAATTTTGGTTAATCTTTGTGTTGGTCAAACAGTCACTTTTTAGTTGTAATTTAAGATATGATCTGGATGGATACATGCTGCTCTCAATTCCTTTGGTCAGTTTGACAGTTTTATTGGTTCCTGGAAAGGGGATGTGTATTTACCCACGGATTTACCTATATATATATATGTATGTATATATAGGTAAAAAGCCGTGTGTAAATAATCCAAGTGGTCCCTAATAAGATAAAATATTAAAACTAATCCACAAAAAGAGCTGAGTGTATTTATTACTGAGCATATTTAAATAAATGACATATAATAGAAATTAAACCTTGAAACTGTATTTAAGCTTTGTCTAGATGAATTGTTTTCGTCTCTTGTTGTATGCTTTCTCTCTTTCCGTTATTTCTCCCTCTCTCTTTTGTCTTTTTTCTCTTTCTTTCTCTTTTAATTTTTGTTCTCTTACTTTGTTATCTTTTCTTTCCTCTTCCTTCCAATTTCTTTAAAAATCTTTAAGCTACCTTTTTTTTGCTACCTTTTTATTTTATCTCCAAACCCCTTGGTGCTGCAAAAACTTGCAAGGTTAATTCTTGCGGGACGAAATAGCTGTTCTTATAGGGTATCTTTGAATTTTAATAATATATATATATATATATATATATATATATATATATATATATTATTGAAATTTCATTAATATATATATATATATATATATATATATATATATATATATATATTGAAATTCAAAAGATACCCCATAAGAATAGCCATTTCCCAGAGAGAGAGAGAGAGAGAGAGAGAGAGAGAGAGAGAGAGAGAGAGAGACGATGTTGCTGGATAGGAAACGCTGTTCGAATCTGGGGTGTCAATAATTATGCCTCTTTGTCATTTCTGCTGAAAATCACTTCATCCTTAATCTGTTTATCCCTAATCTTCCTTAACAGATCTCATTGCTACCTCAACAAAAGGTTTCGTTACTTTATAATTGCCGAGTCATATGTGGCAAATTTAAATTTTTCATAACAATAAATGTGTCACTGAAACACTTACCAATATTTTCTTAATGAAAACTTGTTGGTTGCGTCTTCGTGGTTAATGTTTTAATTCCAGGTTCAAAATTTGTTGTCTTCAACTTAACACACAGCACTCATGCCATACTGATGTCATCCCTGCTTGTTGGTCTGATGTAGTTAATGGCGAACTATATTTCATGACGTCATTGACAGACATGTTTCAATAAACAACACAGGAAAATATGAATGAAAATTACCAACAATGTAGAAAGTGATGTCTTTTAACATTAATAAAGTCCGATATCATTTGCTAGCCATTATTTTGTATGAAAAGAGTTTTAATTTTTTTTTTTTTTTTGACGGCCTTGTGTGCAGTTCCAATACCAATATCTTGCTGCTGGGCTAACTTTCGTAATGATTCTCTCCTGTATACTGTCAGAAATATCCAAGAGTTTCTCCTTCGATAGCTTTGTTGGCCTTCCACAAAATTCTGTTTGCCGAAATTTATCAACAAGGTTACGAACTGCATTGCGGCGTAAAACAGGTGTATCTGAAAATTTATCAACAAAAACGTTGTCGCACGAAATCTGTGTATCTACCAGCTTTTCGAAATATATGCTCGACGTGAAATACACGTTCTTCAGTTTCAAAAAACATATTGGGGTTAAATCTGAAGTACAAAAACATATGATTAGAAAATTACAGGGTAACTTTTCCGAACTATATATATATATAGCTGTCAATATACCACATAACATCCTTGAGCCCTTAGACTTGGAGCGGGTAGAATGGAGATCAACGTGTTTTAGTGCGCTCAGCAGTTTTCAATCAGCTTGTCTGGATCATCTTCAAGAAGCGAGAGCAAGAACTAAAAGGTCAGCAAATCTAACAGTGATCTCATCTCACAATCCTCACACTTGCTCCATATGTGGCCTCCTTTGTAAATCACTAGTAGGTCTTAAATGCCACTTAAGATTATCGCACAAAATTTCATAACTGAATCAACTAAGCTGTCAGAACCTCATACGTCGAAACCGACAGGAGAGTTCATTATATATATATATATATATATATATATATAGATAGATAGATAGATAGATAGATATATGAGTGTGTCTGTGTGTGTGTCTATGTGTGTGTGTGTCTGTGTACATGAGTTATGAAATAGACTAAGTCCGAAAATTATTTTAATATATTTTCATTTAATGCGTTATTTTTATAGATACAATTAAATGTAACAGATTAAGGATGCAGTAATGACAAAGGGGCATAATTAACGACACCCCAAATTCGAACATCGATAATCCCGACAAAGTTTTAAAAATTTTTGACAATTAGAAACTTTTATGAACATTTCCGATTGTCATATATATATATATATATATATATATATATATATATATATATATATATATATATATATATGAACATTTAGAGGCGATAGGATGTTTATTGCTAGACGCAATCGTCAGGCCACGAGTGTTTTTTTTTCTCGACTATTTATATATACGGGTCAGTGGTGCATTGTGGGTAGTCTATTTTGGCGGTTATGTTAAGTTTTATTTATTTATTTGGGTCAAATTATTTTGCTTGTTTTTATTTATTTTATTTTATATATTTTTTTTTATTTCTTATCTTATATATTTATTTTTTATTTTATTTTAATCGGTGTTTTATTAACGTAGTAAAAGTTTTATTTATATCGCTTATGTAATAGTTTTGTTTTGGTTTGGGAAGATAAAGCTCTTTATTCAATTTTGGGGTTGTTGTAGTTCATTCTAACTATTATTTTGGCGGGAACAGTTTTTACTTCTTTTATTACTTCATTTATTTATGTGATGCATTGTGGGTAGTCTATTTTGGTGTTTATTTAATAATATAAAATAAAATAACCGCCAAAATAGACTACCCACAATGCACCACTGACCCGTATATTTAAATAACCGAGAAAAATAACAGCATTGGTGGCCTGACGATTGCGTCCAGCATGAAACAGACTGTCGCCTCTAAGTGTTGATTTCAATGTTCACTTTTATATTGACACACGCTCTATCTCTGATATTGAGCACTTTATCTCATAAATATAGCACACCTTAAGACTATATTTCTTTATATATATATATATATATATATATATATATATATATATATATATATATATATATACATATATAGGTAATCCAATAAGTTCTGTCGAATTTTAACTTTTTGTTAAAATGAACAAAATTTAAAAGAGTATTTTATAATATTTATTGGAGCTGAACATTATTTTTATGTTTAGATGCATTTAACCTGATCAAATTTTATTTCAGAGAACAATAAAATTAAATTTTGCTTGATTAAAACCCTGCTAACATGGAAGTACCCAAGAATCATTTGAGGCACATAATGCTTTATGAGTTCAAGAAAGGAAACTCAGCAGGCCGAGAAACATTCACTCAGTTTATGGAGAGGAATGTGTGAATGAAAAAGAACTTGCAGAAGATGGTTTGCAAAATTCAGAGGTGGACATTTCATTCTTGAAGATGAAGATCGAACCGGACGTTCAGTTGAGTTTGATAAAAAGCTTCTTGAAGCAGCCCTTGAAGAAAATCCTGCTTTAACAGTTGAGGAATTGGCAGTGGTTCTCAGTTCAAACCATACAACTGTTCATCATCTTCAACAACTTGGAAAAGTTCCTAAACTTGGAAAATGGGTGCCTCATGAATTGTCTGAAAACAACCTCAAATCCCGAGTTAACATCTGCTCTTCTCTCCATTCTCGCCAACTTGTTTCACCTTTTTTGGATAGACTTGTGACTGGCAACGAAAAATGGATCTTTTATCGAAATGTTAAGCGTCGTAGACAGTGGCTTGGTAAAGGGGAAGGACCCCAGCCACATCCGAGAAGGGAACTTCATGGGCAAAAGGTTCTTCTTTCAATCTGGTGGGATCGCCAAGGAATAATCTACTTTGAATTCTTACCACCTAATGCAACAATTAATGTTCAAATATACTCTCAGCAATTAGAGCGTTTGAACCAAGCTTCGAGGAAAAAAAACCTGCTCTAGTGAATCGAAAAGAAGTGATGTTTCATCAGGACAATTCGCGACCCGACACAGCAAGAATCACGTCACAAAAGATCGAAGAACTTGGTTGGGAGAAAATTCCTCATCCACCTTACTCTCCCGATTTTGCTCCTTCAGACTACCATTTGTTTCGTAGCTTACAGAATCATTTGAAAGCAACAGCTTTTGTAACACAGGAAGAGGTTAAAACTGGCATTTGTGAGTTCTTCGAATCAAAGCCAAAAGAATTTTACTGTAATTGAATTAGAAAGCTTGTTAATAGATGGAAAGACGTCATAGATAATCAGGGAAAATACATTGTTGATTGAATCTGTAATTAAATTTAACATTTGGTCACTTGTTTTCTTTATTCAAAATTCGGACAGAACTTATGGAATGACCTGATATATATATATATATATATATATATATATATATATATATATGTGTGTGTGTGTGTGTGTGTGTGTGTGTGTGTGTAATATACGCGATCTGCAGACGAATTCAACGCTCTGAAGATCTAATGAACTTGGAATTCGGGGTACAACTATGGTTACCCTTTAGGAATTAATGTTGTCAAGCGTTTTTGCTCTGTCTAGGTAATCTAAGTGCTGCGAACTTTACAGAGTAGGTAGGAGTTTACCTTTACGGCTTTTTTCTTGTTTTCTTATTGCCGTTCTTGTTGGAGATTTTCTCTGGATTAAGAGTATTTCGGTCTATTGTCATGTTGTTGTTTTTTTCTTTTATATACATTATATTCAAAGAGCATGAGGTTAACTTTGGAAAACTGCTGTGCATACTGGATGTAGCTCGTTGATGGCACTTCAATATCGAAAGCAGTGGCCAAATGTCCACTCCTAGATCCGTTTACCGTGTCCTGGCCGTTTGTCTATAATCGTTCCATTGTAAGGGCGATAGCGTCCGCAGCACAGGCTTGTAGCCTTAGTCTGTCACCCCGAAACCTACTTACTGCATGACCACGGGCGTGCGAGCTTTCAGCCAGATTTAGGCCACGGGGAAGTTTCTATTTGTGCTGCAAGAAATTCCTCTTTGGAGGGATTTTAATGCAGGCTTATCATCTCTCAGTTGCGTCTCTGTCCTTGGACAGAGTGAGTTCAGGGGCTTCTCTGTCTGAGGACAGAGGGGCAACTGAAGAAAATTGTACTGAAGAGGTGCCCAGCCCTGGGGAACAGCTGCCCGAGGCCGCGCCCTCCCATTGCACAAGAGGAAGGGATCGACAGTTGCGGGGGCTGAGGGGAATTTTTGTTCCTTGCCCGGGTGTACGCGCTCGGGTCTCCACATTAATCCGACCTTGTGTCACATCTCATTCTCGTGGGAGAATGAGTAAACACCGCAAGATCGAAGAGGTTTTAACTGGTTCTGCTTTCATGGAAGTCATTTGCGTGTGCTTGGCCAGAGATATTTTCCCTGTGTTTTCTGCCATGACACACAGGCACAACTTCAGCCATCATGGTGTAAGATGCCATAAGTGATAACTCTCACTCACCTTTGGTGTTTCTGGAGGGAACGTTGCACAGAATCATGCAGGTCCAGAATATTGTTCAGCTTGGTCTGTTGCCATTTCGATGAAAGTATGCAGTGTCCTGTTGCAGTAGAATAATAACCTTCCACACGTTCCCCGTACTACTCTACAATGTTCTACAAGGTGTTCGAAAGAAGATAGAATGATTCATTTTACGAGCGGCAAATCATATACAGCACAGATCAGCACTGGTTACATAAGTGTGAATACAGGCCATTAGGAATCGTTTAATACCTGTAGGTCGAAAGGTGTATATACCTCTAGCCAGTTTCACTTCTGCCATATCACCGTCGTACACATCTTCAGTTTCGTCTGCAGTGTTAGTAATGAGAGCATGTCCTAAGAGCGTGGGGAGAAACATCCTCCATGTTTATCCGGCCACGACACCCAGGTACAACATCAAGGTGTACGATTCCACAAATTACAAGTCTCACTCATCTTTGGTGTCTGTGGGTGTCTCTAGTTGTGCTGCAAGAGCATCTGTGGGATCGAATGGTGTTTTATATCCTGGAATGATGAGAGCATGTTCTGCTTTCATGTAAGTGATAATCGTTTGTGTGTGTTTGCTAGTGGCAAGCCAAGACACAACTCCAGACATCATGGTGCAAGATACCATAGGTTACGACGGCAGATCACACAGAATCCATAGCGACGATCAGAGCAAATGTGGCCATATGTGTATCAACACAGTCTGTTGGGGATCATTTATTGCCTGCCGGTCTAAAGGCATATGTGTCTCTATCCCGAATTTCACTTCCACCGGGACTCCGTCGGGCCCATTCTTCATTTGCGCCCTGGGAGAGCCACCTGAGGAATCGAATGGCACTCTGTTGTGTTCAGCGATTAGAGTAGGTTATCGTTATTTTATACGCTAAATGTTCACCCATTACAAGGCACAAAACGTAGAGGGTTACTGGAAGAGAGTATTATATGAGCGTAAAGAGTGAAATTATATGCAGATTATGTGAACAGGTAAGATAAATAACGGCTGATCCCAGGACGTTAAGATTGTAGCAACCGGAGAAGCAACCTCGCATAATAATATTTCTCACTTAATATAAGCCTCAAGAGCCATTCAATATAGTGGGGCACTGAAAGGGGTTGTTAGAAAGGGGGTAAAGTGAAGCAACAAGAAGTGCCTATGTAGTATAGATGGCTGCCTTTAGACTTTGAAGAGAGTGAGATTGAAGTGGCTGAGGAAGCATCCTCTCAGGAGTCTATTCCACAAAGTGACAGTTCTGAACGGCAGGAACTAAGGAATGTAGCGATTTTCTAAGCCAGGCTTAGGTGTGGCACAAGGCCGAAAGTATGGGGTACCCAGTGAGGATCGAACTCACTACTCAGTGGTAACTGATCTAGCAAGAAAAGCTTCCTAACCATTACATCACGTCGAGGTGCCTCGGAACTAAGGAATGTATCTCGTTACAGAAATAGGGATAGAATAAGAAGCTGATCGTAGTGTCGGTCAGTCTGAGAACTTTTCAACACCTGCTTCATACGTATTCATTCCTTTCATATTTTTTCTCTTATTTTCTCATTTCTTACCTTTCTCGCTCACACTCCCTTTCTCTCTCAGTCTTCCGTAATTCCTTTTTCCTTTCAGTTTCAATTTCTTGAGCAATGGCCTAGATCAGAGTTGGCGAGCCTTTATAGCTGCCGGCTCATATTTGGCGCTTTAAAAATTTTCATGAAAATAAACGGATTGCTCAAATAATTAATATTTTTAATAAAAAAAAATAATTGTTGCGTCATCTTAGTGGCTAATGTTTTAATTTGAGGTTCAAACTTTGTTGTCTTTAACTTAACACATGCAGCACTCATGCCATACTGATGCCATTCCTGGTGGTTGTTTTATAGTTCATGGCGAGCCATATTTCATGACGTCATTTCACTGACTCCTTGTGGGTTACTACAAAGTTGAGGGTGGGTCAGTTCATCGACCGCCGGTCAAATGTTTGCCATCTCTGGTCTAAACCATTTCAAAATGTAAATAATGCCAATCAAAATTAAATTAAAACATGAAATTTAGATAGTATTTTTTTTTACCATCATTTTTGCCATCCATTTTTTTTGTCATCCATTTTTTTTGTACTAGATTTGTGGCAAGGTCTCATCATTTTACAGATAAAATGGCTAGAAGTAAGTGTTCTATATTAAGAGTTTTTGCCCTTGCACTTCACATTTCATTTCCCACGTAACACATACAGCACTCATGGCATAGCAAGGCCATTCCTGGCGTTTGGTTTGGTTTCAACCTCTATGGGTTATTTAATGCCGGCAAGATTTTTATTGCTGCTAATATTTTTTTCCAAAAAAATTATTGTTGGTAAATTTGTTTTCTCAAAAATGTATTGCTGTTAATGTACTCCTGGTAATATTTTTTACTTAAGATATTAATTGTTGGTAATAACATTTTACAAAAATATATTGCTGGCATTAAAACTTATTTTTACACTTTCATAGTGTTTTGACCTCACATTGGGGGTGAACTATTTACCCATAGCTGAGACCCTAACAGATCCTACCATCCCGGGTCAGAGTGGACATGGGAACACTAGCAATTAGGTGTTGATTCCATGTTCCACAGAACTTCATGTACAGAGGCCTTGCTGCCGGATGTAGTTTATCGTCTTACCCAGGACGCAGATGTAGCTTATCATCTTACCCAGGACGCGGTTGTAGTTTATTGTATAACCCAAAACGCGGATGTAGTTTATCGTCTTACCCAAAACGCGGATGTAGTTTATCGTCTTACCTAGGACGCGGGTCTAGTTTATCGTTTTACCCAGGACGCCTGCTGGTTGATTTTATATAGTTCATGGTGAACCATATTTTATGATGTCATTTCACTGGCTCTTCGTAGGTTACTAAAAAGTTGATGGTGCCTCAGTTCATGACCCCCAGAACTCTTGTTCGCCATCTTTGACCTAGTTGATTAAAGCACGGCTTCATGAATTTGGCGACATTGTCATTTTGAGTTCAATCCCTGGACTGGGCAGTAGAGGTTCTCTGGACGAAACTGTCAGTGTGGAACTTTCTTCTTGCTAATGGAATACAAAGGAAACGACGATAGTTCGATCCTGTGTATGTGGTATGGCCGTTTGTGTTTCTAATGCAAAATTCAGCAGCAACATCTTCCAGAATGTTTTGGTCCACGACACAGAAGGGGATGTACCGTAAGCTACAACACTCGTTTTTGGTGTTTATAGAGGTGGGGAAGTTGAACACTGTCAAGAAACGCTAAACAGTAACGTCAATGTGTTCTGTTGCCATTCCTGGAACAGGAAGGTAATATCCTGTTCAAGCAGGATAATATATGTCCATTTATTACGCGTGCTAATCAACATTATCTTCAACTGCTCGAATACGTTCCTAACCGGCATCATGGTTAGATCTACTGGACATGATGGGACTACGACTGACATAAACCCACCTACAACTGCTGTATAAGAAAATGAAAACTAAAGTCTTTTTTATAAATGATTCTTTATGTCCCGCTAGCGCAAACGAATATCTAGAATTAAGAAATATATCCTGCTCTGATTTGAAAGTATTCGGACAAGTGACGGCATACTGATACCTAAGCTGTGCCAAAATATGTAAAATTGTAAATACGAAGAGAGGCTCATTGCACAGATGATATACTGATCCTCGGCAGACTGCACATATACTCAAATAACAGCCTAATCATACATAAATATTCCTCTAATTTATGACGAATACAATTGACATTTCTGGGACATATAATGAGGACAGCTAGCCTAGAGAATTGAACATTCACAGTGAATACTGAACGCAAGAGAAGCAGTGAAAACATTAGTGTGTAAACCACTTAACGGCTTTGTTTGAATGGTTGGCGGAACATGGACAAAAGAGGATGGGAAAAAGTCAATGATTACTTAGAGCTACATTTCACAAACCTCTGTTGCCAATCTACTAAACTCTACGACATCCAAGCTGTTATATATATATATATTTTAGCTGTGTCTTTAAAACCCAGTAATTTTAAAAGTTACTCCAAAATTCGCTTGAGGATGAAATGGAACTAATGTCTTTAATTTAATTGCAAAATTAAATTCGTGGCTTTTAGCTTCCATTTTTGAAACAGGGTTAGAACTGTGTAGCGGAAAAAACATATTTTAAATTAATTAATTTAATATACATATATATATATATATATATATATATATATATATATAACATATATATATATATAAAACAGATAACAGATTGATAAGTTGTGTTTTTATGTCCATCGTTTTCGGCTATATTGAAAATGAATTTGTAAATATTTTGTCTTGAAAATGGTTTATTAAAACCGAAACGTCTGACGTCGACAATTTTTTTCATTTTAACTAAATATCAAATTTCTTTTACATTCTGTCAGAAATTAAATTTACACTTGCTTAATATATATATATATAAATATATATATATATATATATATATAGTCTTAAGCCTCATTAATGCTAAATAAAGTGCTCAATATCAGAGATTGTGTCTAACATTGAAGTCAAACCCAGACGCCAGTCTGCCTCATGCTAGGCGCAATCGTCAGTTTTGTTCAGCATGAGTCAGACGCCTCTGGTTTCAACTCAATATTTTATATATATATATATATATATATATATATATAATAATATTTTTGTAAATTTAGATAAATCATTATAGTAATTCATCGGATCTAGAAGAATCCTCAACAGAATGCAGAATGCCCTGGACGGCCGTTTCGTCCTATTTTAGGACTCATCAGCAATGCGCATCCACTACCGAGATTCGAACCCGAACTGTTTCGATACAACGCAAGAGTTTTGCCAACTGTACTATATTCTACTGTGTGATAGGCTTATAACTCCTTCCATGTTTTCTGTTATCATCTACAAACTAGATCCCCAGAAGACTTGATGGTATCCCACACAAATAAATCTGATCCTAAACTGACACCTGTTTTCTCTGAAAACACTGCGATAAATACCTTGCCGCTTTTTGCTTTACAACTTATTGGAGACCCTCTTCTGTAGTACCTGTCTTTGAGAACTCTGGTGACCCTTCTGATCCTTCGAATGCTTCTATTTGGCAAAGTACTAGAGGAACCTCATCAACCCCGTCTCACTTCCCACGTTCTTCATTCAGATAAGTTATACGGATTTTAATTCTCTAATGCCGATGCATTATTACTGAAAAACGTAAGAACGACGGGGCTGAGGCTAAGGCTTTAGATATGTTGAACGACAACTCGCCTAGGTTCATTTACATTAATGTAAGGTGGTACTCGATTGAAAGGAACAACACGCGCGTATATGAAAGAAAGAGAAGTTTATTGTAAAAGAGAATACACTACTGAAAGACAGGGCACAAACCTCTGTTGCCAATCTACTAAATCGGTTTGAAAGCTAGTAATTTCCGAAGCAAGGATATCTACCAACCGCTCCACGCGGTCAGATGTAGCACGAGGCCGAATTTAACGTGGGATAATCCGAGCCGGTAGGCTCAGCCAAAAATTTCCCGTATAAAACGGGGTCGGCTAGCTGTTTCCCGAGAAGAGACTCTGCCCTTCGGCATAGCCTCGTCTGGGTTCCTCTCTGCCGAAGCATGTTTCAGGTATATCCTGTGCACACTATATATATTTACTGATATAGTCAGTCTACAATAGGGAGATTGGAACATTCCATTACAACAAAAAGCTGAGTTACATTCTAAATAAAATAATCATTAGCGAATATTCTTATTTAGGTTTATTTTCTTTTTCATTAATATAAATTGTATCCTTTTTGCGCGATACATTTCGTAGACTGAGGTAAATTAGAACAGAGAGCAATTGTCTTCCTTATTTATAGTTTAATTAGTTCCTTTTTAGGTTAGAGGAATCAACCACCCTGTTCCGCTTTTGATCTCTTTTTCTAGATTTATATTCAAGTTATTTATATCGAGGTTAGGGATTGTGGTAAGTGAGTGTAGGATTGTACTTCGCTTTGGTACAGGATCTTTGATCTTTTGCTTTGCTTCTCCAAAATCTAGTTTCAGAAACGAGTTTAGTTGATTGACCTGTCCTCAAGAATGCTGGTGTTAATGTTATGGACTTGTTAAGGAGATGGTAAGTTGGTCGTACATTTCAGCGGAATTAAGGAATATTTTTATTTTATTTTATGTATGTCTACTATTACACTTGAAACTGACAATCACCAAGCAGAGTGGTTACACTATCTATATCTATAAACGCCCTATCTCATATACTGAACATCTTTTTCATAAATATATCAAGTTTCAAAAAATATTAATCTCTCTACCACTCTTTCTATCTCACTTTATATATATATATATATATATATATATATGTTTCATTGAATAATATAGACAAGTCTTGTCTATTTATTTTAAGTAAGTTCCTTTCATATTGTCTGATAGGCTTAATAACATTATCATTGAAAGACGAAATGAAATCACCATATTGATACATGTTTAAATCCAATCTAAGCTTCCGGCTTACATAAGCCATT